TGGTTGCTTTTTCAATTCTGCCTTTAAGCAAAAAAGCTTTGAAAATTACTTCTCAAATTACTATGGACGCGCTCTTAGACAAACCCTTGGGTCGACGTTGGACGCGCACGCAAACTTCAAAAAATTGTATGCAAAATATTGAATAAACCAGATTGGTCCCCCGTCAACCGCCGGGACCTTCCTTCCTTGCGTAGGCTCTGCGTTTTTCGCTGTGGTCCCTGTGACGAACACCTCTTCTAGGTGACGCGTAAGCAACTTCTTATGGATTTTCACAGGATTGCGGATGAAGAAATCCTGCAACCATAGAAAGCAAAGCAGTGGAGTGCTGATATCATTGGCTCCAGGGCAGGATTGACCGTCAATTTGAGAAAAAATCAAAATACTCGTCCCCTTTCTGAAGAGCATTTCCCTTCATCCAGTGGATGATGATGGGTTTCACCTGTCACCACTTACACATCAAACTCCCATTCCTACAAACTGCCATGGGGTCGTATACAGAGCTAATAAAGCAAATTCTACAGATTTTCGTACATTTTAGCACTTTTGGATAAAATAATAATAACTGTAGAAAGTTGCCCCGACTCTAAAAGTACCCCCGACAAGCAGAACTGCTTCAACTTGTCGTACCACGGCTCCTCTCCCTTCCTAAGAATAACAAGTGCGACCTCAAGTCCCTGGGTATATCCCACCCGTACAATTGTCTTGACAAAGTGTGGACTATCAGAGCTCCTGACACTCCAAGAGTTTCCTCATGAGAAATTCCTACCACGCAAAGACTCAGAAATGCCATGTACAGCCACGCTTACCAGGGAACTCAAAATTATTATGGTAAACAGGCCCCAATATGAGTAATAATGGGCAACGCTTACTTTTCGACTTTAATTTTTTTTTTCAGCGAAATCCTGCCAACTCACTGTTATTTTTCAGGTGTTTCAACTCTCCCACGATAACTCAGCATATCATGGACCTTTACAACAAGATGACTGAATTTCGTAAGCTGGGGTGTGACGTTTACCTGTTAACGAGAGGTCCTCCGATTGGAACAAGAGGTCGGTTGGTGCCTTTTACGCAGTCCCACTTGGCTCAGTGTCAGCTTTTTTTGAAGTTCACTATATCACTCGCTAGAGAAGATAAACAGTGGCAAAATGTTGACATTTTTTCTAATATATAAACATCTTTTCTAATAATTAATATATCTACATTTTCTAAAACATTCTCGTGTTCAAGCCAACCTTTCGGAACTAAATTTAATTCTACATAATTGTACTAGTTACGTTTAGTATTAGTTACGTATTTGGATTTGAAGTTTTGATGGCAGTAATACCATTAAAATGTACATAGTCAGGCGTCCACGAAAGCGAGTTTACGAACAATGCGTATTTATTTGTGGATGTGGAACCGGCAGTATACGGGGGGGGGGAGGATTTGGCGTTTTCGCACCTAACGGTGGGCTAAATGTAGCGCACTCAGGCTCCAGGCAAAAAGCGCACACCCCCTCCCCCTCTTCGCTCGAGTGGAATTTGCAATTCCGCTGTGATGATAGCTCGGTTTTAGCGATTTCTTTCGGATTCCTACAGTTTGCCGGATTTTGGCACTTTTGCTTGGATGTTTGCTCAGCATCAATTTATCGTATTCTCTGCCTTTAAGCCCTATTTCATTTTGTTTGCGCGGACGACCTTTTTTGGTTACACCTTTTTTTGGCGATGGTTATTCGCCGGGTATTTCTCTTCACAAAAAAAACCCAGAACAAAACTTCTAAACCAACAAGAGAAAACAAGAGCAGTAAAGAAAGCTAACACTGAAAGTTGCAACACGCGAGTGGACAATGAAGTTGAACAGCGCGCACCTGTGCTGATATGTAGTGCTTGCTTTACCTAGCAGGTCGGGAGAGCTCATCTAAAAAATTCAGTTGAATGAAGACCTTGTTAGCTCCTCAACTTCCCTAATGTCTGTGAAGATGCCAATGGTGCCAATCCATTCACTATGTCATTCTCGCTTTTTCGTTCACAATCCAATTCCCCACAGAAAGCGCTGAATTTTAGGTGGAGCGTATATCAAGCTGATTGGTGTTCCGTTTCGAAAACTGTACGATGAAGAAGAGGCTCTCGCAGAACTGAAGGCACATCGACATTCTGCAATGGAACTTGTTGGATGGAGAGCTTTGCTTCGGGTATGAGTACGCTTTTCTATTGTCCTTTGGAAGGACAAGGGAAGACATTAACTCTTGAATCAGGTTACCTTTTAATTTTTATATTTCCATTCGGCGAAAGTGTTCTTTGCAGGCAGTGGAGACATCTTTGGCCGAGGAAATTCGGCCGCAGACAGGTTACAAGAGATCCGGTGAGGGACAAAATGAGGATCAAACTGGTTTCATAGCGCAGAAAGTGGGTTTTGTTTTTCAGTAAAAGAACCACTTATTCATTCATCACTGGCCATGGTCAATATTGAATAATCTCAGCAATATTTTTTTTGTTTCCGTCTATCTCTCGTCATAGGAGGGTTCCTTTGACAAAACACCATCTGATTTTGTGTCATTGAAAGGTAGTGCTCATCCACTCTAAACTAGCTAATTTTCAGTCTATAATGTAGTAGAAATATTCAGAATCATAAGAACTGAAAGTAGCACAGTGGCACGAGGCAAGCGCAACACTGTAACTTACCGTATCCATACGTGAGTCGTGGGTGGTCAGGCCGGCATAGACGCTCATCCAGGCAGGGTAAACCGCCAATTCGCGTCATTCAAAGGGGAGGGGGTGGGGAGCAGCCGTGTAGAAGTTGAAGGGGTTGTGGATGCAGAAAATCGGGTCGTTTTGGCGGGTTTTCCGACGGCTTTGGCAGAAATACCAGGGAAGAAGCGTAAAGTAGAGAAAGCTGGAGATTTCGTCGCTTCATCCGATCCTTTCCCCTGCTCGATGGCCCATCAAAGCCATCCGCTCACTATTTGGAAGAGTGAGCGGATGGCTTTGAGTGTGTCGATTGATCATAGAATCTAATGCTATAGGAACAGCTATGATGGCGAAGGTAGGTCGGCGATGGTAGAGCGGAAGGAGGTCGTATAGAGGGACCAGTAAGGCTGATGGTGGTGGTGGCGATCTTATCGAGACCCCTAAATAGATGATCGCAAACTTTT